ATTAAAGCTATCCAAAAGTGAAACGGATGACCTCAGGAGGTCATGGGCCACCTCCTCTTTCTCTCCCTCCTCCTCCTCAACTACATATTCTGTGGGTCAATAACACTAGCCAGCCTTCAACAAGATACTTCATCTGCCTGGCCATTTTCAATGGCTGCTCCCCTTTAAAGGAACAGTCTCCCTTCTCACCTCTGCCAACTGGCTTCCCTGGTTTTCTTCAAGTCCCAGCTAAAATCCCAACTTCCACAGGAAACCTTTCCCAATCTTTATTCTAGTGCCTTCCCCCTGTTAATTATTTCCTCTTTATTTTGTTTGTACATATTTGTCTGATTGTTGTCTCCCCATTAAACTATAAGTTCCTTAAAGGCAGGGACTATCTTTTGCCTTTCTTTACTTCCCTAGCACTTAGCACAGTGCCTGGCACATAGTAAGTGCTTAATAAATGCTTACTGACAGCCAGAAACCTCATGGAATGCTGCAGGAAAATTGGGCCAGACTTTCTGAGAAATAGGCCTCCTCATTTCCTGGCAACATGACACCTGGGCCAACTTCCATATATGTTGATATCCTCCCAAAAGCAAATAAATTTTCCCTAGGCACCAGATTTCCTAGATATGGCTGCTGATGGTAGCTTAGCAGCAACTAACCACTTCTTTTATGATATAGTTCTTCTGGACCAATATAGACAGTTAGCCAATTTAATTGTTATTTTGTGAATCCTTAAGTTAATTACCACCCCAATAATATCCAAGAAGCTAGCAATGCTTAATCCATTGCTAATGCAAAAGGTTCAAGCATGGACAAGCTGCACTGAAAGCAGCCCCTCCCTGTATTTACATTCTCATTTTAGAGCCCAGCTGAGGTCCAAATACATAACCTTATAGAGACCTCAATCCTGTTCTGGTTCATGGCCCACAATCCAACCAGTGGAGATGGCCGATAGCCTTCTTAGTATGGCACTGTCCTCTAGGTCGAAGGGGCTAGACCCCATCAGGCCCAGATCCTCGGGAATCTCTTTGATAAAAATTAACAGAATGCAAGCTCAACCATCACTGGGACACAATAGGAAGACAATGCCTGACAACTGTTGTGTTGTTTTTCCTTCATTCTTGAAGAGGATCAAGAGGTGATGCCATGACTTGCAAGTAAATTGGATTTAAATGAGGGAGGGCTATGCAAAGTCACCAGCCTCACTTTCTTCTTCCAGAGCCATCTAAGTTCAGTAGCAAGATATAGATCAGGACAGAGATGGTCCTGGATGTGGTGGGAGACCTTGGGAGACCTTGGGAGACCTTAAGTTAAGGTCTTTCCCAGGTCTCAGTTTGACTGAGGCAATATCTCATTCAGTGATTAAGACTAGGAAAGAAATAAGGCAGAGAATGGCCTCTTTCACCTGCTCAAAAAAAAAAAAATCATTCCGGGGCAGCTAGGTGGCGCAGTGCATAGAGCACCGGCCCTGAAGTCAGGAGGACCTGAGTTCAAATCTGGTCTCAGACAAACACTTGACACTTATTAGCTGTATGACCCTGGGCAAGTCACTTAACCCCGATTGCCTTTAAAAAAAAAAAAAGACTTTAGGGGCAGCTAGGTGGCACAGTGGATACAGCACTGGCCCTGAAGTCAGGAAGACCTGAGTTCAAATGCAGCCTCAGGCCAAACACTTGACACTTACTAGCTGTGTGACCCTGGGCAAGTCATTTAACCTCAACTGCCTTAAAAAAAATCATTCTGGGAGGTGAAGACCCTCAGGGTTTCTGGTCAAAACAGAAATAATTGCTATTTACATTCACTCTGAGCCCACGGGGCCCAAACAATGACCAAGTAGGCTTGGCCAGGACCTATTTTTGGCCAGTCAATGAGAGCCAGAGTGGTTTGGGTTTAAGGCATGGCACTTAAGAAAAAAAAATCTAGCCCATAAACCAGGCCTGCACAACCTGCAGCCCTCGGATCATTTGCAGTTGACAACGAATTTCAGACGATCCTCAAAAAATTCCTCTACATTTTTCTTGGGCTGCCCAAAATCCTTGGGCGGGCCGCAGGCCTGCCAAGGTTTCATTGATCAAAATTTACATTCCTTTGGGAAAACAGTTATAAGGAACTCCTAGTAAGAAAACTCCCTAAATGCAGATCAGCACCTGTTCTTCTCCTTAGTCTCCAAGAGTTCCTAGGAGAACTGAGAATTTACATAGCTTTCCCCAGGTCACACAGTTCGGAAGTTTTAGAGGCAGAACTTGAATCAGGTCCTCCTGGCTCTTCATCCACTATAAATAGCACCCTGTCACGCTAGCAGAATGTAAACTAGATCAAAATAAAATTCAAGCTAGGAGCCTGGTTTAGTAAGAGTTTGAAACAGAGCTCACACAAACCTTTTTTTTTTTTAAACAAGCTTAGAATGTAAACATTCACACCTTTGCTAGGCCATGCAAATGAGTCTCTATGTTGAAGCTGCACTTGAGTTTACACACACACACACACACACACACACACACACACGCACACACGCACACACACACACAGGCGCACACACACACAATCCTATTTGCTCAGGTTTGCATACCCACAAGTCTGTGTGCACAGTTTTGTAAAGGATGGTACCAAATAATAAGGGTCAGGATGACAAGCCTTGTAGAGCCTGGTCACTTCAACCTAAGCCCTTTAATAGAAACTTCCTTTAATAGATACTTCCTCCTAACTAGTATCAAGCCCCCAGTAGCCTATTAGTGTTTTGTTTTTTCCTCCAAACATCACTGTGCTTGGAAGAAAGAAAACAAAGACAAAATAAGAATTGGGCAGTTGTCTATCCCACCCGCGCAAGGTGCTAACCTGTGGAGAACTAAAGACAAAATAAAAAATGGTCTCTGACCTCAGGAAACTTACATTCTATGGAAGAGGGGAGAGGTCTAGGGGGGAGAGAACACAACATATACATAAAATGATAACTATATGTATGATTATTTGAGGAAAGAAAGAGTACCATCACTAAGGAAAACTTTCCATAGCAGAAAGTATAAGGGCTAAGCCTTGAAGATTCTATGAGGTAGATTGTAAGAAGGGAGTACATCCTAAGGATAACAGTCTGGACAAAAGCATAGGCAAGAGATAGAATCCTGGATTCAGAGAACAGTAAGTTTTGCTGGAATGCAGAGTGTTCAAAGGGAAATCATGTGAAATAAACTTAGAAAAGGAAGAACATGAAACTAGGAAGTCTAATGTGATGGACAGTTTGTTGTCAAAAGAACAAGGGATCCATGGGGCACAGTGGAAGGCAAGCTTGATTGGGCCATAGACAGAGGAGAAATAAGAATGAGATGTATGAGTATAAAGGAACAGAGGATGGCAGTATGAGAAGGGAGCTTCTGCCTAGGCAGCATGGGATTCTGAATACAGAACAGGGATTCTAAAGATTACAGAACAAGAGAGTCAAATCCTTCACAGGAGCAATGAGACTGTTTGATTTGATTATCATTCTTACTAGTGTAAGAAGTGAAAACGGAAATGATAGTGGGGTTTGGGGTATGCATGGGCAATGGTAGGACAGATGGCAAATCCCTGGTCCTGCCCAGACAGTCAAAGGGAGGTGTTGCAGTCTAGAGTGACCCAAGTCTAGGGTCTGGATAGCCAGAGAGGGGTGAGGTATGGTTCATTTACTCCTAATTCAATCTCTAGCCAGGCCAACTCTGCCCCAGGGCCAGCTCTAATGCTGAGCTGAGTACAGATTATGATACACAGTTGTACGGGCACCCCATTGAGCTAGATTACATAGAGCTAAGTAGTATTTCTTGAACAGATGGATAATGAGCTAGACTGGACTCTGTCATTTTTTGTATCTCCAGCACTTAGTACAACATCTGGTATAATAACAGGTACTCAATGCTTATTGAATGAATAAAGAATGAATTGCTTTTTAGACCAAAAATATACTCCTTAGGTTTGGCTAATTTTAAAATCCCTTCACATACCAGTAGGTCCCAACCTACTTTTCCAAATAGTTATGCATCATTCCCCTTCCCACCCTTTGTGGTCCAGTCAAATGGCCCTTCTTGCTGCTTGTCACACACAACACTCCATTGCCCATCTCTGTGCCTTTGCATTGGCTGTGCCCCATGCCTGGGATACCCTCTCTCCCTGGGATGCCTTTACCTCTTGTTTCCTTTAAAACTCATTTCAAGCACCACCTTCTCCATTCAGTCTTTCCTGATCTCCCTAGTGGTTAGTGCCCTTCTGATCAAAATTACCTTGTAGCTTACTTTGCATATATTTTGTATATTCAGTTAAATACACGTCCATGTTGCCTGCCCTGCTAAAACATAAGTTCCTTGAGGAGCTGTTTCATTTTTGCCTTTGTGCCTCCAGTGCCTGCCACAGTGCTTAGCAGAGGCTGCATTTGGGAAGCTTCTCTTCTGGTCAATGATCCCAAGTTGCTCCCCGAAACAATAAGTCACCTTTGAACACCTACATTTTTCTCACAGAGCCATAGAGCAACAAATCATGGAACACCACCATCTCTGATGAATGAGAATTCTGGGTGACACCAGGGGCAATGGAAAGACATATGGTGGGAGTAAAGAGTCTGCTACATATTATCGGAGATGACTTGCATAGTAGAATAAAAGATACTACTCAGGAAATGTCTGATTAGAAAAGGAAGTGGCCAGTTACACAGGGAGAGTGAGGAGTAACAAATAGCCCAGGAGCTACATAGATATGCTGCTAAAGGTAAAAGACCTAGACAAAGACATTTGCATAGTGGGCAGATCCCATATCTGTGTTCAGTGGAAACACATGGACAAGAGTCACCCAGAATGAGAAAGCATCAAAGGGCTTCATCCTTCACCTTCAGAGAAATACCCAGGCTAGAAAAGATCACTGATCCGTTACAGCATGAAATTTGGACTAATATTTTAGGGAAATAATTTCTGAAATATTTAAAGGGATATAAAAGATATGATCAAAATCAAATACTTTCTTTAAAACAATCATAACAACTAAAAAGTGCTTACCCTTCTCATGCGTAGTTCTTCTAATGCCTCTAACAAACTTGTTTTGAATTCCAATATCTGGATAGAAAACAGTGGTTCTGAAGAACTTTGAAGGGAATCGGAAGTAGACTCAGTCTTAAAGTCTTTCTCCATAATAAAATTTGGTTCCTGCAATATAAAAGTTTAAAAAAAGGATTAAATCCTGTAGTAAAAACCTCAATTTGTACTAATTTCTATTTCTATACCTCTGACATAAGAGGGAGCATGGCACAGTGAATAATAACAGCTAGCTAGTAGTTAAGTGGTATTTTCTTACTTGATCCTCACAACAACTCTGTGAAGTGCTATTATTATCTCATTTTACAGATGAGGAAATGGAGGCTGACAAATATCAAGTCATTTGCACAGGGTCACATAGCTAATAAGTGTTTGAGGCAATGTTTGAACTCAAGTTTTTTGGACCCCCAGTCCAGCATGTACCTCTAGAAAACGGAGAGCTGAATTCAAGAGTCCTCAAAGCCCGGGTTCAAATAGGGCTTCACCTCTTGGTACCACAGGCACTGGGGCCCTGAGTGTCTAAGACGCTAAGCTGCCCATCAGGCACCAATCTGCATTGGCAGGAAAAGCTCACAGCATCCTAGCTCTCAAGTTAAAGGGACCTCAGAGCCATCTCCTCTAACCAACTCATTTGAAAGATGAGGAAACTGTAGCCCAGAGAAGTGACACGAATGACCTGCAAGATCACACAGGTAAGTAAACAACAGGACCAAGATTTTATTTAATTCAAGTCCTCTAAGTGTAAACCCAGTGCCCTTCCCATCGGGCCACTCTGGGCCCAAATGCCAGACATTGACACAACCAGGTTCAAACTCAGAGCTGCTGGTATATGCTGCCACATAAAGTACACCAACCTCTGTCCTACAGAATAGTCTTCCCTATACTGACGGAATCACAAGTCCAGTATTACTTCTAAAATGCCTTTGAGCAGGACATAAAATACAGACTGCTGAAATACTCCAGATTTCCCATCTACTTAATCAAATCCTATCTATTCTTCAGCACCCAGTCCAATTCCTAATTCTTCCATGAAACCACCTCCAGCGACTATATCCCCTGCGGGTCTCTCCTTTCTTTGAATACCTACCTACTGAACTTCTAAGTTGGCACTAGAATTCAACACTATGGATGAGCAAAGTAAGGCCCAGAGACATGCAGTGATTTGCCTATGGTCACAGAGGTAGTAAGGAGCAGAATGGAGCTTCAAACTCAAGCCCTCATACGAATGAGCCAATGGACTTTCAACTGCACTATAGGAAAATATTATTCACTTAACAAACAAAATCAACTTAACCATAAACTTCCTTGAAATATATCTGAATACAAGAGAAGTAAGAGAAAAGAGGTATATGAAATGTTTTTTACCTTCCAGGAACATGGAGAGATAAAACTAACATACATAAAATTCACCACAGCCTTTCAATCTTGTCTCCTTGAAAACCCAGTCCAGAGCCACTTTCAACATGAAATCTCTCCTGATCCCCCTAGCTGCAAGTGTCTTCACACCCAAAATTACCTTGTATTTATAAAGGTACATGTTGTCTCCCCAATAGCATCTGAGTTCCTTGAGGAAAAAACAGTTTCATTTTTTTTCCTCTGTAGCCCCTGCACCTAGCACAGTGCCTGGAACTCGATAAGAACTAACAAATGCTTATTGATTGAAAAGGGAAGCTAGGTGATGCAATGGATAGAGTGCCTAGACTGGAGTCTGGAAGACTCCTCTTCCTGAGTTCAAATTTGGCCTCAGACATTTCCTAGCTGTGTGACCCTAGGTAAGTCACTTAACCCTGTTTGCCTCAGCTTCCTCACCTGTAAAATGAGCTGGAGAAGGAAATGGCAAACCATTCTAGTATCTTTGCCAAGAAAACCCCAAACGGTGTCACGAGTCAGACACGACTGAAAATATGACTGAACAACAAAACTGATTGAAAACTATTAAGGGTTAAACTGTGCAGTGTAGAATGATATAGCAGAAACAACAATGGATTTAGGGTCAAAGTATTAGGACTCTTGTTCCCAACTCTACCATTTACTAGCTGAGTAAGGTGTTAATAGTAGAAGTTAAAAGACTTGACTTTGAATAGCAGCTCTGCTATTTATTGACAGCATGACCCTGGCTAAATCACTTAATTCATCCGACTCAATTCTTCATCTGTAAAATGGAAATATTTTTCCACTCCCTGCGCAACAGCTTTGTTATGACAAAAGAACTGTATGAACTCTGAAGTGTTATACAACTGTGGAAGTGAGCTATTACTGTTATTACTGATACTATCATTATATACAATATTACCGAATTGAGCTATTACTGTTATTACTGATACTGTAATTATATACAATATTACCGAATTGAGCAATTATTGTTATTACTGATGCCGTGCTCCGCTTATCAGAAAAACTTATAAACACAATATATGAAACAAGAGACAAAAGCCTTTTAATCCCTGTAAAATTACCCCCAATGAATGTTCACAGATAAATAACAAATAAGCATCTATCTATCCGGAGTTCAAAATTTAGTGTTTTGTCTCCTGTAGTCAAAGATGTAATTTTCTTTAAGCAGTGCAAGAAATTATTCTAAAGATAGTAGATATTTATTTGGTCAATGAATATCTTAATAATAGCTAACATTTATACTATACTTTGAGGTAAGGCTTTCAGAGCATGTCACATATATTATTTGATCCTAATAATAACTCTGTGAGACAGATGCTATTATTGTCTGTATATTATAGATAAATAAACTGAGTCTGAGAGCAATTAAGTGATTTGTTCAGGGATACTCAGCTAGTAAATGTCTGCGGAAGAATTTGAACTCAAATTTTCCTAAAGCCAAGTCCATAGTGGTCTATCCACTTGGCCATTCTGTCTCACAGTAAAAAATAACTTAATAACTATAAACAGAATATAATAAAATGGAAAAGTCTCTGGGTTTGTTACTATTGTTTTATGTACTGTTAATTTGTCAGATGTTGATTTTAAAAGATTACATTTAACTCTGAGAAATTTCATCTGGTAAAAGAAGCAATGATATACTTGGTAAAAAAAAAAAAACATTTTAAAAACTACACAAAGAATCAGGGGAGATTAACCTCAACTATTTATAGGTTTGCCATTGTCTCAGAGACTTAACCTAGGATCCCAAGTTTAGTAATACAGCTATGGAACTGAACAACACTAATCAGCCTATATGGGAATCAAACCTATGACGCTAACTTTATATATTCTAACCAAATATAGTTATAATAATACCTCATAAATTCACAAGGCAAAAGTCACTATTTTCAATTAAAATAGAGTAACATTTCTAACAAAAACATATGTGAAATTGCCAATGATATTGTACAACTAGAAAGTTAGTCATACATATACAAAATATATCTATTTCCTTCTGTCTTACTAACATCCTTAATTTGGAACTTCCACTCTTCCTTATTTTTGTCCACCCAAACATTTTTCATAATTCAAACTGCTTTAGTACAAGGACCCTTAACAATACATATAACTATGCTAAAAGATTGACAAGATTTTATCATTTCCTATCGTGACTCCCAATTGAGGCAGCAAAAAATATTTCTATAGAAAAATATCCCCACAGGAAAAAAAAAAAGACAATTCCTATATATTCTACAATTACTCTTAAAGTGTGCCTAGAAAGACAGTTATGAGAGAAGGGGAAATTTAAAAAACATACAGTGCTGTCTTCCTCTTTCAATAGATATTATAAAAATAAAAATACCATAAAAATTTTAATGGTTAAAACAACTTCTTTGACACATTCATTCCATTTGCTTTTCTACTACTTTATATAAACAGAAAAACTGCTTTCTTTAAAGCATATAATAACAATCTATATTTTACCACATTTTAAGTGCCATAAAGGTGATTATATCTTTGAACAGTACTTATTAAAAATTACATCTTAAATACTCTACAGTGGAAAGTAAGTTAGCCTATACGCCTGATAGGGGTCAGGGTAATAACACAGAATGGACAAATTACACTGTCATTCGACTTAAATTATTTAAGTTATTTAATTTGACCTGTAGATAGTCTCTTGTCTTCTCATCATGCCTGACTTTTAAGTGGGAGGTCTTCATTCATGATGATCCTTTAATGGAAGCAAAGCTTTCTCCATTTAACCCATAGTGTTATCAATCATGTACAGGGATAAATGAGCCTGTAAGATTTTGCCAGTATCACAAATGACACTGTGACCTGAGGCCAACATCTTTATTTGCTTCTCCAGTGATTCACTTCAGCAGATATTAACCAATTTTATAATCCATGAAAGGCAAAATTAAAGGACACCATCCATAAAACAGAATAATTCCTATCAGCAACAAAGTGATGTGTGTATTATCTTATAAATTATATGGCCATACAGTGTGGTAATGTAATGAAGTAAAGATGGTAATAATCAAATGCCTAGGGCAAACGCTAATATGCATTTAATCACACAGCATGAAGCCATTTGTCATTACAGTTGAATGCATGTGTACATAAAATACATGAGTCACGTCCTTATTGTTATACTATAACAGCATCAATTTCACACTATCATTTCACACAATAACAATTGGTAGGCTTTTGACATTAGCTAAAACATTCAAACAGTGCAACCACAATTGTTAACAACACCTTTAAGACATAAAGATATTTGCTTTTTCAGTAACTATAAAATTTTTATGAAAACTGCTTTGTCATAATTCTGATAGGAGAATACAATTTTCAAGTTTTCTAAACAAAAAGTGTGATAGTTTGGTTATAACAAGTTTCGCAATCCCTTCTTAGGACCACCAAAATTTATGACATAGTGAGAGCTGAATTAGTTAAATATGCAGAACTGTTTTATAAAAAATGAGAATAGGTTTATATGTGCTTTAGAAGCTCCAAAACTTTCTAACAAATGTCCAAGGAAAAGTAGATCTTTCTGTATAAAATGCATGTTCATTTACAATATTCAAGTTGAAGTATGAAAAGATTTCAAATTTATGACAATAAATCAAAGTCTGATCTAAAGGACATATGTAATGACATAAAGAAATACCTACATGCAGACATGTGGTTGTATATGTGTGTACATATATATGTGTTTATGTATATGTATG